CACACCATCACTCTTGATAACTGCAGCCTCGCACAGGTTTGTTCCAGTCTTGCTGGTGATGGAAAATGTTGATAACACGATACATCAACGCTTAGCCAGCATTAACGCAGCGTCGTATCTCACGCAGGTACCGTTTTCGCTCACAATGTGTGAAAATAGTGAGCAGAAGATAGAGGTCACTGTTAGCCGCTTGCACGGCAACGGGCATTGCCGACCGATAAGATGGACGCATTGCTGGCCGCTCGCTCGAGCAATTGTATTGCAGGCCGTTTGCACGGTAACATTGCCTGCCGCTAGGACGGCGCTTCAGTTGTTTGCCGCACGCACGGAAGCTTTAGGTTTACGTCGACCGCTTGCACGCCAGCCCTTATAGGAGGACCGCTCGCACGGCGCGAATTCCTGAGAAGTCCTTTATCCATTCGATATGTGCCGGAATCCAGCTGGCGTTGTCAGAATGCGATCATGCCCAGAGATATTTCTGATTCAAATGCGCTTGCAGAAATACTTCAAGCACACACAAGTATAACATAAATTTTTTGTTATGGGACAGAAGCCTCTTTTAGCCACTCTACAGACGACAATATAACCTATGCATATCGGCAAGGGATGAGCGGATGTAATTGCTGGGTCAAAAAGCACACAACTTGAAAGGAATAAGCGCGAGCGTGGGGACTGAGTAAAAAAGGCTTTCTTGCTCAAAATCTCTACATAAGAACGAAAAAATGCTCTAGCTAGTAAGAGATGGCTACCCTTTGTTACGCCACGCCAGAGGGTCCGCAACGTGACGCAAAACCGAAGCGGCGCCTCACCAATCTACGTCATGTTGAAGTTGGAATGCATACGTTAGGAAAAACTAATACGCATTGACAACGACTGCATCCCCGACCAAAAGGCCGAGCTAAGTTGGGTAGTTTCCTTCACAAGAGGCGCATACCGCTTGTGTGGACTTATATACCCCTTGGCTTGGCAGCGCACCTAGCAGGAGGGGTCCGGGCGCGAAATACGTAGCGCCTCCAATAACACGACAGCCAGTGCTCCTGGCCTCCTGTTACAAAATGAGGCTTGCATCGCTCGAGCCGCGACATACACTCTATGGATGGATCTGAGTTTGTTTCTCAATGTTTTCTTTTCATGGCTGCGCTACTATGACGCGCGTAATTTTGGCGCACCCTTACTGTTAGAATCGAACAGATTCGCTTTTTCCCGCATTCATACAGTCGAGTAGATTTCCTGCTTAATATAGTGTCCCTGCAGACGCGACAACGCTGGGGCGTCAATAAATGCCTTGCGAGTTCCCGAGCTAGTGTTTTCCAGTGTTTTCTCTGCTTATTTCATGCTTTTTAGTTGATTCGTTGCTGATAAAGAGGAAAAGGGTAAGTTAGAGTGTAGTTTCTGTTTTCTGAGAGGTTCTATCATGGCATATTCACAGATATGGAAGCAGTTCGCGTCAGCTTCTTGTCTATTTTTTGTCACTTCATGTCTCTTTCTTCTCGTGAGGTACTCCTTTGAACGCTAGTGGATTTTACGATTGACCTATTGTCTTTATCACATGAAGTACTTGATTAAAATGCTATTTCTTGTGGATGAAAGCCGAAGTTGCTGCAAGGCAAGCCAACTAGCGTTCAAAGAAACGCCTCGCAAGAAGGAAGAGGTTTGAAAGAAGAAGTGACAGAAGAAAAGGAAATGACAAAAAAAAGACAGGAGCTGACGCGAAATGCTTCCACGTGGATATCTGTGAATATGCGGTTATATTTCTCTGAAAACAGAAACTACACTCTAACTTACCCTTTTCCTCTTTATCAGCAACGAATCAACTAAAAAGCATGAAATAAGCAGAGAAAACACTGGAAAACACTAGCTCGGGAACTCGCAAGGCATTTATTGACGCCCCAGCGTTGTCGCGTCTGCAGGGACACTATATTAAGCAGGAAATCTACTCGACTGTATTTTGTTCAGCATAATGCCCCATAATCAGAAACTTGCTCGAGTAAAGATAAGGATGATGGTGCAAATAAAAGTGCATCGTTCTTTCCAAGTTGCAAACCGGGACCCTTTGAATCGAAGAGCATGTGTATGCACGATGTGAATGGCACTACTGCAGTGCAACCAATGTCAATCAATATGCAAGAACCATTTTGCCCGGAAAAGAAGGAAAGTAATGAAGAAATATTATAGTCCAGTACTTCAAAGTACTAAACTTCTCACTTTGTTTCTTCTGGCTCAGCTGGTCTTAGATATTGGGTTGTCTTAAAAGTTTTTTCAGTTTTGCACTTTTACTTCATTAATGTATACAATTCTCAGTCTAATCAGATTGCAGTTTACCACTCAATAAGCGAGCTCTATAAGATGGCGTGTAAGTGTTCGCACCATCTTCAGCACATCACGAGCTAGAAGCCGAAATCTGAGAACCTTTGATGCTCGAAAATTTGAAATTTTCCACATCTCTGTACCGCTGCTGTGTTTGTTTCTGTGCTGAAAACGGAAAAAACTATAATTTTCAAAATTTCAAAAAGCGATGCTGATGCTGCGCTGTTCTCACATAGGTAAATGTACACTAGAAACCTTCAAAAATACATCGGTAAATTATCAGCTTCTTGGAAGTGGTAGTTCTTGAAAAATACCGAATTTAGCTTTTTTACTAAGGTATTTTATAGATCAACATTTTTCAGGAACTACAGCTTGTAGGAAGCTGAAAATCTGCGATCGTATTTTCAAAGCCTTGTGGTACGCACTTAATTATGTGAGAGCAGCGCAGCGTCGGTTTCTCGGAAGCTTGAAATTCTAGTTATCTCGGTTTTTAGCACAAACCAAACACGGCAACGGCATATGTGGATGTCTTATGTAGAGTGTAAATGTGTTAGCAAGTTTGGGATTTGGTAATTTGCCTTTGGGCAGAGATATAAATTATTTTCAAATTTCCGGGCACACGCAAATTCTCGGGTTTTGGCTTCTATCTCGTAATGTGCTGAAGCTGGTGTAAACACTTACACGCCATCTTATAGAGCCTGCTTTGCTCTATCGAATGGCACCCTGCATTATGGTTAGAAATGAGAACTGTGTGACTTATTGCGTTAAAAAGACATTGAAAAAACTTATGAGACAATCTAATATGATGAATTATCTTGTGAACGGTTTTGGTGCAGTAAGTGACATTTCTTTTATACTTCATTTAGGTCTCAAGGTACCGTTCAGTAGGGCAAAGCAAGTCTACCCCTTGACTAAAAACTGGATAAACGAAAAATTCTAGGTTATTACTAAAATATTGCTGGGTTGTCAACATAGGTATTTCTAAAGCAGAGCCCTTTATAAGTACGACCATCAGTTTTCAGCATTTTATTATATAAGCTCTACTTCTCGGAAAATATCGAACTTTAGATGGTAGAAACATAGAAATTTTTGATTTTTATTTCAAATTTTTTTTATTTGATTACGCCGAAATTTATCAACAGTCAAACTAGAAATTTTCGTTTACCCGATTTCAAAATACAGCAAATATACATATGTATGATTAATGTGTGAGAGATGCTTGAGCAAATGAGAGTTTTGAGGAATTGTTTAAGAATGATTGTCTCCGATTTTCTGAGCATCCAGGCTTTTCTGATTTGAACATAACGCGAATCAATAGTGTGCACACCTGGGGACCACTTTGTAGAGCTTGCTTTGCTCTATCGAAGTGCCTTCAAACTTTAATTGATGAAAGAAATTCATAACTTACCACAGTAAGAATCAAAATCGGAAAAACACGTATAAGACAACCTGATGAATATTTCGCAGTGCATTGTCACTTGAGCTAGGGTTTTTTGTGTGATCCGGGAAACAAGGTTCCGATGTCACATTGGTGGATACCTGGCAGGAACCTATCGCAGACGTTTTGAATAGCTCGGAAAAGTGGCAGTGGCATTCCCCAATGCCAATCACCTGACCTCCTTGACCAAATAGAAATTTTTCTTTCTAAACACCTGCTGAAGCCCTTATTCGTTGTTCGTTGTTCTGGTGAAAGGTGACAGGCAGTCTCCTACTCTAGCAATTTTTTCTCACTCAGACAGGCTTTGACACATGTTTACGTGTATGAGATAAAGGTGAAGATAAAGATATATCAGAGCCTTTTATTACTGACTATAGTCCAATAAGGTGGCTGCGCTAAGCTCCAATACGGCTCTTCAATTGAAAGATACTTTAAAAGTTGCAAGTTCTTGCTTGTCTGGGCAAGTACTCGGAGAACCGCCTCATTTCAAACATTACTAAAGGCTATGCATGACGAAGGCGCAGAAGCAGTATTGATTGAGCGGGAGCGAACGCGGCACGCGTATCCGCAGTATTGTAAATCCTGCTTTCTGGGCTGATAAAGCGCCTCGTTTGCGTCTAAGGGTATTGCGCCTTCATCATGCAGCAGCCTGTACTTGCTTACTGAAGATGAAAATAGATTTAAATTTTTCCGTACACAGCGTTACTGTATATCGGAGGACCACTGTGACCTTTTGAGCAGCATCTGCTAATTTGCAGGCTTTTCAGTGTTCTTCTTCCTGTATCACGTAGTACACTTTTCTCACAAATACTGAGCATTTTTTTTTCGAAACCCGCAGCTCTCGAATAGATTCAGAAAATGCAGTTTTAGAAAAAAAAAAGGAATTCTAGACTTGGTCTCTTGATGGTACGAATTATGGTGCAAACCTTATTCAAAACAGCGTGCACGAGAATCTAAAAGACTGAAGTTTGTGGAAAATATTGAGAATTGTCAATCAATTGTGGCCGTCTTTAGAACCAGCCCTCTAAAAATGTAGAAACGTGCGTTAAATCCGTCATGACTTTAACGTTTTATTCAGACTAAGCTCAGTATTCAGAGGAAGCCGTTCTGTTGTAACTGAAAGGTACTACATGAAAACTCGAAGTAGAAGTTCAGTTGCCATAAAAGAAAACGTTCCACTACATCACTTTATACGTTTTCAATCAACAAAAAGTAAATCAAGCATTAGCAGATTGGATTTGGTACTACATTACTGCTATATTCGTTTTGCGATGAAAAACGTCTGACCTAATCCAGAGTCATTCAGATCAGATCTTCCAGGCATTTCATAATAAAAGTTGCCTTGTTCGTCTTCATATTCTTGAATCTTGTCTGCACCCAAGCATTGTCCCATGGCAACGCAGTAGTCCGCAAATGCATAAGCATCCAGGAAGTAGTAACCAGTGGTGTTGTAGATTTCTCCAAAAAAGAGACGACGAAAATCTGAATTTTTTACGTCAACCACGTCACAGTCTAACCAAAGCTATTAAAAAGTTCTACTGGTTTATATTATAGGTGTCCCGGAAGTTATGTCTTTTGATTTTGATTGCTCACCAAAACTCATAGAGCACCGATCGATAAACAATATAGGTAGCATTCGATCAAGATCTTTTTTCGATAGCTACATTTGCTTTCTGATCCATGCGGTTCTTACGATGTTATCGCCAGGGCTCTTTGAGCAATTCAGAAGTAACGCCAAATATCCCCTATATTTCAGATTTTTTATCTTAAAAATTTAAAGAGGCGCTTCAAGCTATTACGCGAAGTAAACGTTGGGCTAGATACTTATATCATGTTACGTGGACCAAGGTTTTGAAGTCTGTCATAATTGTCAATTATTTTTTCAAGTAAAAACCCCGCTTACAGCGCACAGAATTACCGAAAGTTCCATAAAAGTTGATGTTTAGAATTTTCAATCCGCCTTTTATCAGAAATCATTTCTTTATTTTTTATTTTTCAAGGGAGTTGACTATTTTGCGCAAACGATGTTCAATAACAATTAAAACTCTGATAAGCAGAAACTTCAAAAGCTTTTTATGTGTTGCAATAGTGTTTCATGACGTTACCATTATTATATTAGTTTAGAAGAATTAATCTCTTTTTCAAGCACGAAACAGCAGACCACATGCTTTGAAAGCGCTATTGTATGAACCGACATTGCTCTAAGATGTCATACCTGTTCTTTTCCGGAAGATTGGAAATTTGAAAGTTAGGCCAACTTTGAGCAAGAAAAATTGATGGGTGTAGGATTTCCGTAAAGAAGCTTCCAGAAGATTAAATCCGTCCCGTAAATGTAATCTTTAAGAAGAGAGGAAAAAGCCGCATGATTATGTTTTTGAACGTTTTCAGGTCTTTGTTATACGATGTTTTATAGACGTTCGAGAAAAGCGGACACTTTTGGGCAACCTAAAATCTGCCTTTGGCTAACAAGGAAAGGATACCGACTTAGGTTCGCTTTTGAAGATGGGGCACATATATGTGGAATCAGCTTTGAACGCTGATTCCAAATATGCTGTTCCTAGCTGCTTAGCATTATTCCGAAGCGAATTTTAGGCTTGCTGTTGTAAGTGGCTAACAAACTTCTAAATGTCGTAAGACGGCGTGTAGCTGAGAATCTGTTCGAAAAAAGTGCTAGGATGTTGAACTAGTTTCGGACTGATTTTTTCAATCTTGAAAGGGGGGCACTATACAATTGCAAAACCACCTAGACACCGTAGCATCAGTAGGTTGAGAAGCACGCAAACTTTGCGTAGAAAAAATACCATAACTCGCTTCAAAATAACGCTAAGCAGTTAGTAACAGCATGTTCGGAATCAATGTTTCAAGCAGATACCAAATATATGTGTCTCATCTCAAAAGACGAATCTAAATTAATATCCTTCCCTTGTAAGTTAAAAATGCAACCACGGCAAAAATAGCTCTTGCGATTGATGCCGTTGGAAGGAATGGTTATAAACAAAAACGTGCTGTTTATCTATGCCTCATTCGGTTTGGTGTACTTTGCAAAATGCGATTTCGCATAATTTTACTGCAGAATGATGGGCACTTCATCGTGGAAGTAGAGCGATATGAGCACTTTGTGGCATAAAGCTCTCAGTATACTTTAATGCATCAGTCACCCACTTGCTTTGTGAAATACAGGAACTGGCGTACAACCTCCAACTCTTCCTTTCTTTCTTGACAGCAATAACCTGAATGTATCAAAAGCAACAGGTAGGAGGTAAACAGCTGTTTGCTATATCTAACTCAAAACCAAAATTGACTTGGATACTGCAGTGGTCCAGGACGGTGAAGTAATGTCCGAGGTGGAATGGTAAAATTGAAAGCCATTGCTATTATAACGTCTGATAGTAACCACTTCCTTCATTGACAGCTGACTGCATTTCTTTACGTTATTTTCTCCATGCCTCTCAATCTTTTGAAACAAAATTTTACTACTGGCCATTTCTGTAATGCACGATGCATCCGTCTCTTCACGGTAAAGTATGTATCCGCCCCATGTGGATGTGCTACCTTGCCTATACAATGAACAGGCTTTAACATCCTGAAATAAGCAATACTGAGCCCCCCTTGTGCAGTGTAATCATAGCAAACCTCTCGGTAATCCACAAATGCGCATTCGCTTTCTTCATAGCAAGCTCTCAAACACAAAGCTTCTTCTTTTGAAAAAATTTGATATAAAAGGTCCCCATAAAAAGCTGCAGTGTTGTGACGAAAAACGCCAGAATTTAGCGCCTAAATTTTCTTTAAGGTATAGCATATTCGTGTTTGGAACGGTAGGGATGCTTACCGGATTTGCTAAGAAGAGGATGACCAAGATAGACCCTGTGAAGAACATGGATTTTGACGAGATCTTTTGATGCACTAAATATGCCAGGGTATACAATGTAGGTGGATCTCAAATTCTGCTTGACAATCCTCTTACTCGCGACATAGCAACCGGGTAGAAAACATAAATCTTTCAAACACATACTTGAAATAAAGCTTTCACACCGTCACGGACGCAGCAAATGCCATTTCCAGATATGAAATATTCCTTTCTCACTATGAATCTTGTGCACATTATGCCATTTTAGAGAAGAAGGTTACGTTCACATCAGTCATAGGGAGATTTCAAAGAAAACGTTTCTAGGCCCAAAAAATTAAGTGAATGCGATTGATGCTTTGCTATCTGCATGTCCTCTCTTCACAATGTAAATCTTTTGAAAAAACTAGTGGATATTTCAATTCAAAAATCTTTGTTTAGAATGGATTTCGTAACTCTCACTAAAACCCTCTCACTAAAACTCAAAATTATAAACTCTCTTTTCAACGCTTGTGCAACAGGGCAACACTGATACTCTAGCGCTTGACAAGCGCTTGAATTTATCAAGGAAAACAAACTTATGGACAACAACAAATGCCCTCAAACCAGGGCTCGGCACGAGCTGGCATCAGGGAAATTTCAAAATGAAGTCCCGTTTGATCTGAAAGTTTTGTATGAAGTTCTCTTTGGCCTGTTTTGAAGACCCGTCATTATTTTCAGATTATGTAAAAGTATGCAGTAGAGTTTCCATGCATGCTCATTTCATGGAGCAACTCTTCACAGCTTTCTGAGCTTTTCAAGTGGTTGAATCCCATCTTGAGAAGCAGAAAAAGCCGATTGTCGATTGCGGAGCAGATCGATTAATTTTCAGATTGCTATAAAACGCTGAAAAGGAAACATTATGAAATTGCCAGCTGGCACGGTGTCAGCTAATTCAGAAAAAAGTTCAGCACAGCTTTCATTCATATAAGTTTTCATAAATTTTTGGACCATAGCTCTGGTCCCGCAACGCGCATGCACACACCAAATTTGGTGTCATACCATTGCGTTTAGGCTGAAAACAACGCCTTTGTTTGTTTGATGGACGCATGCCGGTGGCATGCCAGGCGGCATTTTTGTGGCTCTTCTCCGCCCGGACCCGAGAAAACGATATCCGCTTTGCTTTCCGCCTTAAAAACGATATCCAGCTTGACCCGGTGCCAATTGTGCCGAGCCCTGCCTCAAACTGTAGAGAAGCCCTCACAAAGTGTCTTTTGCTAAGACAACGACGGGAAGATTAGACCATGCTAGTCGGACGGATGCAACAGTCAAAAGATTATGGATTAATTAAGACAATACATCATCTTGACAAAGAAACTTTAGCGGAAGCTCCTTGTAGTTTTTAAGCAGCTTGTAGGATACAAAAGCTTGATTATCTTTTGAAAAATCCAGGCACGGGTTGCCAAGAAGTGCTGGAGAACCGATTGCTGCCTTGCTTTTACTAAAAAATGAAGTCAGTACTACGGCTCACAACTGCACAAAGCATATGTGTGCATACAGGTTTACATACTCCGTACTTCGACAGCATTGCGTGCAGATCTTGCAATGTCCACATTGTTCTGTTCTGAATTCGTAGAGCATCTCTAAGAAATTATTGGCACGATGTTCCTCTGCAAACACAAACAATACAAGACCTGAAAAGACCAACTATTCCACAAAATTGCAGGGAGTATTAGTGAGCCACACGTACAAATTACAAGCATGTTCCACAGAATCGATTCACAAAAAGTAGGCTTAACGAAATATGTTTCGCTTACAGATGTTTTATGGTTATGAAACAATGTAAAAATCATTAGATATCATGTGTGTAAATTACAGAGATACTGACAAAAGTTCTACCTCCTTTGTAAATCTGGGAAAAATTCTTAGGGAGTGTCTGCTTTCGAAACTCTGTTCAATTGTTTCATTCAAAATCGAGGTAAACTCTTAATCATACCATTAGAAAACACTAAAATCAAAATATTGCTTTTTTCATATATAACTTTCAAAAAATAAAGCTGATTATCATTTTCCTCAGACCCGCTTCTTTTGCATCCTTCTATGCTGCAATCATGGTTGGCAAAAATCATTCATAGAAAGATAGATTCGAACGACTTACTGTTTGGGTATTATGCTCTAGATAAACTATTGCAAAATCTGGTGTAAAACCGAACGAGCATCAAAACACAAACATATCTTACACTTTTTGTATGTAAACATTTGCTCGAAGTCACATTCGTCTTATAAAAATGCAGCACATTTTTTGTTTTTCTTCTCCTTCAAATCAAGATGTTTTGAACGAGCTACAAAGGCTTTAACAATTAGATTTTGATGAGGAAGCGTCAGTAATCTATGTACGGACGAGCAGCTGGGCGCTAATGTCCACTAAATGTTTTTATATTTTTTCTTCAGGAAAACTAAGTTTTGCAATAGTTTCGAATCTTTATTGCTAAAAACTGCGATTATTGCAATCTCTAATTACAGATAAGGCAAAAAGCATTCCATTATAGAGTAACTTTAATTACATTTTGAAACTAATTACATTTTGAAAACGCAAGCAAAACGATAAATCTTCTCTTCCTTCTCATATTTGTAGTTGCAGCCAAATCTTTTAGCATGGCTCATCTGTAATAAATTCATTAATTAAACTCTCTAGAATTTCGTACTTTGATCTTAGTTTTATTTTAGTATACCAAAGAAATCATTTTGTAATTACTCTAAAAGCTTCCTCCAACCAGAGAAGATTCTACACCTTATTGCCGCAAGATTTTCAACGCAATAATCTCAAAGACTGTGAACATCAGAATAATCGCGATTGTTGACAAAGATAACAACTAAAAAATCTTATATATTATATTCTGAGCTTGATGTAGTTTATCGAAGACAGGCTGGGCAAATTTGCAAAACATGCAAAAATCAAAGATTTTGCTAGATATGATACTTCAGCATCTCAGCAATAAGTTATCATGCTATAAAGTCACTTACTGAAAGAATTTGTTGTTTACTTTTCTTGATAGCCTTTTCGAGCATCACTTGACTTGTTTCATTCGATCTAAAGGTAGCATCCACTACTTCCTGCAATATCATATCAGTATTGTTGTAAGAATGTGCTACATTCTTTTTACCCAGCGTTCCCTTCCAGAGCTGGTTGGACCGTAAGCTGCTAGATACTGAGAGTAAAGCTTAATGCTAGTGACCCAAAGCAAAGCAGGCAGTTCCAAATAACAGTTGTATTTCTAAAAAAAAAAGACAGACAATATTCCTTGTTAGCACAAATAAAAAGCAAAGCTGACAGGTCTCTTCTTCGGCAAAACACCCAGAACTGCTCCAGCAAAAAGTATTCGCTCTTTCTCCGAAAGCCCAGCTCGTCCTAATCTGCATTTGTACTTCTGAGCACGTGTGGATGAAAATTGAGTGGCCTCTCCAGCAATCACAACAAGCATTAGCTAAAGCATACAGTTGACTTAGGGCAAAATAGTGTTCAAGGCTCGTATACGCGTACATCCTCGCGGGGAGGGAGGTGATCTGAGAAGGGACATACTATATTTCTTGCTCTAGATAGCTTTTTTCTTCTTTTTCTTTTCTTTCTTATAGAAATTCTCATACCCTGATACCTGAGCGTCATGAATGCCAGGTTACTGCCATACAAGATTAGTGTGGTGGCTATTTAGGCTTAATGTAGCCCTAGGCGGATGTTTGGCGCCGGAGTATGGTGGCTCCCGTGTGTGTTATTAAGACACTAAGCTATTGGAGCTTTATTTAACAAACGACATGCACCCATTCGTGAGTGGTAAATGCTCACGATTAAAGGCGTGGCGAAGTAATGTCGCAAACACCTGGGCAATGATACACTTGTATCACAGCTGATCATGCCTTTGGCAGAACCTTTACAGTGTTTAGGAGAAGTAATGATAAGTTGCGAGGAAGATGCCGACAAAGTCGGTACAATTAGATTTCACTGTCTTGTGTAATCCACTGTAGATCCACAAAGAATCACCTCTCATTTTCCTTTCTATAAACTCAAAGAAAACGTAAATCTGTACTGAGTATACGGGACTACTTGTTTATTACAGAAATAAGTAAAATTTCAGAATATCGTAATCTTTCTTGAACCAAGGGAGCTAGGGATTGAAAAAACTTGGAAAACTCACAACATTCAAATTCCATTTCCTTTGTCGTAAACATGCCTAGCAGCGTCATATATTAGGTTGGCTCGAAAGTTCTCGGACATTGCATTTAGACAGAGATTTTGTTTGGACGTAAGCACTGAATGGGGTGTGCTGCATACCATTGAATAGAGGAAAGCAATCTCTACAGAACCATGGTAAGCAAAAGCAACATCAATATTTTCTGTGAATATTCGGGCGAAAATTCCAAAGCATAGGATTTTGACCTAACCCAGATCGCTAGCTTCTATATACGTTTTGAAATCCCCACATGTTCCAATTTATAGCACAAGCATACTTATATACTTACAAGCACATTTTGTGCGGAATTTGAGCTTAAACAACAAGAAACACGAGGTGATTAAAAAGTGGCAAAATCCGCCCGCTTTGGTCCTAGGCTCCTATTTGCTTAGATATCAGCTACAGGCGAGGGAGAGTACAACTGCAAATTTCCGAGGATGTACATGCATAAGTTTCGAGAAATAACAAATTTAGTCTGAAAAATTTTTGGACCAACCTAATATATCCTCAGTACAATTTTACATCGTTTTCGTTAAGTGCATAGGAGAATCAATGGCTTTGAAAATGAGGGGTGATACTCTGGGAACCCCGGGGATCACACAAAACAATGATATCTAAACATCTAATCTTGTACGGCAGTATTCGGGCAACCATTATGCGCAGTTATCAGTGTATGAGAACTTTCATAAACCAGGACAAAAAGAGATATCTGAAGCAAAGACTCAAGTCCCTTCTCAGAACTCTCTCTCCCGACAACCCTCTCATAAGTTGTTATTTTTTGTTCACTGTTAGCTGTAATCCGTCTTATTTATAGCGTTGGGTAAGTGTTATGGACTTCTAGATTTAGGCGAAGTGGGCGCGTATGGGTTTGTCAGTCGTGATAGCGAGATATTTCAAAAAAGCAATGATTTGATGTAAGCGTTTTACAGCTCAAACGCTAACGTTATAAATGTCCGCAATGTCCCCGTACTACGCAAAATTTGTCGTAATCATCGCAGCAGCCAATCGTCATTTTGTGCTGTAGTAAAATTCACGACAAAATAACGCCTTTAATGAAAAACTTGAAAATGTTCTTCCCTTCCCCTCTTCTCATTACGTTTTAGCACTGTTTTTGCCCCAAACGAACCGGCTAGTCAATGAACTAATCCGATTCTGTTGAACTTTTGGCAACGAATGGACAGTGAAAATCGAATTTTGAGAACCCGTATAAACATGATTTTTACTAAATTTTCCTTTCTACGAGCACGTAAAGTTGCACATGCTGCTATGTACTATAATATATTGAATAAATCTTGAGAAATAGTACAAATGTAGTCTTCGCTAAACAAATCAATCCTGATCTCCTTTCTTTTTATGATTGCAGAATTGAATGCGACTGTGGACCAATTTTATAAGATTTAGTATTTTTTATTATGGTTTACTTCGAATTGGCTACGTAGGAATGATTCGGAAACTTTGTAAACTTCTTTTGAGTTCACAATGCTAGAATGTGATACACTGACGAAAGTTATAAGGTATTTTGTATGATTAAAGGTGGCTGAGCTAGACCAAAAAGTCTTAGTACGCAAGAGGGTAATGGAAACTGTTTTTTTTTGAAGCAAAAGTTCAAAACGGATCGAAAAGTCTAGGTGGAACAGCCAAGTTTCGGTAGAACAACTGTTTCTTTGAAGGCAGTGTCCGGGCAAAAACTCGATTTTGAGATTTTGTGCTTACTTGGGCCTATTCGTTACGCTGAATCCGAAAATGCACATTGTAGAGCGCGAAAATGGCGAAAACGGCTCTAACACAGGAGGGAAATGAGCAGGTGGGCGGGGTCCTCCCCACGGCGAATTCACGTATCCGGCTTCCGGAGCGAACTTCTCGCTTCCGGCTTCAAGTCAATCATTCGCACTTGGCCGGTAGCGATGTTAGAACGGCTAGCGGAATGGAGAAAATCGCTCCGGGAGCTGGGAGCATGAAATCGCACTGGGGAAAGCCCCGCCCACCTGCTGATTTCCCTCCTATATTACAGCCCTTTTTCGCCGTTTTCGCGCTTTCCAATGTCGATTTTCGGATTCAGCATGGCGAATAGGCCCGTATAAGCACAAAATCTCAACGAGTTTTTTGCCCGGACACTGCCTTTGAGTCAAAATGGTCATTGAATACTCTATTAATTAAGAGTTTGAAAGTTTGAGCCGTTTTGACAGACCCAATGACCCACAGATAAAGATAGAGTACTTCTAACTAAATTCAACTCACAACGTTTTCTTTTCAACATTTTGGTTTCTCTCTAATAACAAGAGCAGCATTCCAAGACTGTAATGGTTTTTTTACCTTTTCTAAATTCAGCTAATCTTCAAAAATTCCGTACAGGAGTTTTGGAGGATTGAAGATTTCTGAAGGTTATCAAGGGTTTTGATTATTAGTAAGATAAAGCAATGCTTTTTCTATGCAGTACTTTTGTCACATTTCATTGTAATTCCAAATTTCTGAGAATAATTCATTGATTACACCGGTACAGGAAAGCTACTGTTTGACTAGAATCAATTCTACAAAGTAACTGAGCTATCATCGCTCCAAGGTATGTAGATTTTGCAAGTTCTGATTGTATCGCAATACAGATAGCAGTCAGAAGGAGAAGAAAAAACTGCACTGAACTTGATGCCAAATTTGCTCATAAGTTTATGTTCTGCTATTTGGATCGACCGATTTTCAAATACTTGATCACATAAGTAGCTGTTAGGGGCCGGGCATACTTCACGCAATTTCATTCGCGACGCGATTTGGCACCTTGCCAGAAGTCTTCAGATCCAACTTAGCTAACTGCACATGTATAGTGTGTATAACTTACATAGATTGATAAAATGCCCTATCTTCCGTACATTCAGGAACCCCTTACAGTGAGTTATGGACAGTTGGAATACTGCCAAATCGCGTCGCGATTAAAATCGCGTGAAGTATGCCCGGCCCTCTAGAGACAATAAGTCCGCTAGAGATTTCCAAAAGAATTGCATTGCAGAAGCATTGCTCATAGTGTTTGCCCATCAAATCGGAAGAATTCATTCGTGAAAACATGGTAGAGCTAAACGAGGCAAGATGAAATAGGATAATTTGAGTGTGAGGGGAAAGAGATGCCTTTTGAACAAGACTGTTGAATAAAGGAACTCGGCTTTGAACAGTGCTTGAAGTGCTTGTCTATCTCCATTCTTCACGAATAATCAAGAACTGTACTTTCTCGGATGTAATTATTGAAAACGGAATTTGAAAAACTTCTTTTAGAACAATTTTATACAAAAGAGAAAAATGGTTACTGCTGATGTTTACTTCTGTTCAGTCACGAGTTATATCAAACCATGATTTCACGTTTACTTGTGAACAGTAATCGAAAGCGCGTAACATTATATCATGTTCATTAAACATTAATGATTTTCTGGCACTTCTTACAGTTTCGGAACTAGTGTTATGCTAGCTAACAGGGAGATCCTTAGTCAAATGGCCTTTCCACTTGAGATGCATATGATCTTAAAGGGCATTGAACGCCGATTTCAAATCTGTTATCCTTATCTGAGGAGCGCCATCGGGTGAGGAGTTATGATGAGTTTAAAAAAAAACTTATCATCTAACCAGAATAAAATCGATGGTAACAGTATTTTCAACCAGCAGATGGGATAAGGGCGAGCACAGGGAGGCAAGCAGGAACCTTTCTTTCATTGGGCTCACAAGTTTCGCCACAAAAGCTCTCATAACTCCTTATGCAGAGGCACTCCGCAGATGTGGAAGACAGATTTAGAATCAGCGTTCAATGTCCTTTAAGTTGGTGTGGCCACTTCGAGCAAAAATCTTTCACTGGTAAGATCAAACGGATAGCTTCTAAAAATGCTGAGCTGTACATGTAAAAAGTCTTGACTTTCCTTGAGCAAATTTGATCTAAAACAGCTGTAGGCCTCTAATACGCAATTAGAGCAATATTAGATAGATGTTGCAAAGTCATTAGATTTTCTGGCTACCTCTCTTATTCATGTACTAGAGACTATACCCTGAGTAAGATGAAGACCAACCTGAAAGTAGAGTAAATTGACTGAGCAGAACGTTTTCATCTGAAATTGCGGCATGTTTATCGTTTATTAGGCCATTTTGTATCATGTTTTTATCCAATCTCAAATTACGAACAGTGAATTATCAAATGTGACCTCGCGAAACAAAGTGCTTGTGAAGAAAACATAACAATTAGAGTACAAAGGATAGCAAACAATAGTGTCAACAACTTGTCAACAGTG